ACAATTACAATCATATTTTTCATATTCAATCTTATTCCTGTGTGTGACACATGCTCCTAAGCACTGGTTAGTGATACTGAAAAAATAAAACATCAGTCTTTCTGTTGCTGCTCCTCTGTCTTGAAGCTATGGAAAAAATGTTTTGTTTGTGGAAATTTGAAAACACTACATATTTAAGACCTGGTCCACGAGACACCTGGTCCTCCAGACCAATCAGTACTTTAATCTGAAATCTCCCCTCTTTGGGACGAATAAAGGATCTCTTAATCTTAAAACATTATTTTCAATTTTGTGTTTTGCTTTGGAATGAATGTAGGACATAATGAAATATTTAAAGTATAATATTATTAAGAAAGGTTTGCAGATGGTGCCAGCAGAGCTCTCCGTGACTATCCCCAGTGGAGAGGGTGATAATTAGTTCTGCGAGGAGGGCATTATCTGAATCACCTTGCCTGTTTACGACTGCTGGTAATTACTAAACTAAACGTGACATCCGTGAATGCTTTTACTTTTTGGGAGGTGAACTATGCTCGTTCGAACCACCCCTTTATTAGTTTGTGTTCGCATCCTCGCCTCCTAAACCTGATTGTGTAAAATGGATTTCAATTACGGGTATAAGTGATGCTTATATAGTGCACGTCATGGCAGGACGTTTGCCGGAGGACATTATGCGTGACACTTTGACACACTGAAGCCTAGTTAAGGCCAAACGATAATTGGAGAGGAACAAATCAACACGGCGAGCGTACGGTCCAGCGAATCCATAAGGTGTCATTTAAAATGGATGGCACTCGTAACAAGATGCTGATTAACTTAGTGCAAAATTAGTAATTGACCTTTCTAATCAACTAAACAAATCTCTAACTTCCTCTAATCAGTATTGATCTCCCCGGTTGTATGACAAAGTGTTTATGTGTGTGTGTGTGTGTGTTTTATGGGGTATGTATTATGGACAGTGGAGAAAGTGACAAAAAATCTGTAAACAATTGCAAACATTTGGAAAACTTGCATCTTAATTTGAGCACATTTTGACTGCTTTAAATAAAAGATTTGCCAATGGGACAAGCAACATTATCTATTGTTTTAAAAAAGATACAAAATGCATCTTTCTTGGAATGAGAAAATAAAGCAACAGTTCTTGAAATAAAACTAAGGCTGCGGTCACAAGCACAACATACGGCCAGATAAAGTGGGTGATATTGGGCGTCACATTACGTCTTCCTGCTGCGCCCGCTGTGACGTGTACTTTCACACCCGTCTCTACCTGCAGTCGCATACTTTCGTATTCTCCCTGCTTGTGTTACACCTTTCATGTAAGCCACCGGACCGTGGTCGAGGGGCGCAGGGGAGATATGTTGCGTTTCCTACGGGGATAACTCCCTTCTGTTTTGACCATCGCTGTCACAGTTTGGTAAAGATGCACCTTATTTTGACCCATCCTGATGTCACTAAGGCTTCCGTCAGGAGCAGCGGTCACCGTAGTACAGCGCCCACTGACCCAACTCCAGATGATGATGCTCGGCTTGGTCAGGACTACCGTATTTTTACCTATTGTGCATGTTTTTTAGTGGTAGGGGAAACCGAAGCACCTGTAGGAAATCTACGCAGACCCTTGGAGAACATGCAAACTCTACTCAGAAAGACCCTGTTTCATTGGGTTGCAGGATCTTCTTTTTGAGAAGCGGAAGTGCTATCCACTCAGCCACCGTGCTATTCCAATAACTTTGGATGCTCAAGAGTCAGACTTTATTTAGTTGCACCTTATTGTGCCGGAACACATCAACACACACTTGTATCCTGCCTGGCTCCCATCGCTCTGCTGGTACGCCACACTTTTCATTTTTCATTCTCATTCATTCATTTCTCAGGCCACGCAGTTTACTCTAAGGTGCTCTCCCGTGTTCACCGCGCGGCAACACACACACACACACACGTTACCCACTAAGCTGCTGCACTTGTACACATTGACTCTCTTTGAATTAAAAGAACCATACTCGAGCTGTTTGGTGCCATGGTTGGCGCACGGTAGCCTGATGTAAACAGGAAGAGAAATGGAAACTCAACTCAAACCCCAAGGTAGTCGCTGAAGTTAGTATTAGCACCACCAGCTGGACCAAGCGTTGTACTATACCTGCATTTGGGCTGGCACGGTTTAAAAAAGACTATGCCCTAAATGGCAAATCTTGTTTTAAGTTAGTCAGAATTAACTCAAATTAAGATAAACACTCTATTCAAGCAATTTTGCCTTATATTTGATAATTTTTTTGCAGTGTAATATTTGAAGTTTCCCGTCCCCCATCTTGCAATTAATACATTCATTTGCAAATCACACGGGAAATACAAATTGTCTATGCGTTTTGTTTGTATCCATGTTCACGCAATACCTCCTCGTCGATACGGAAAGCCCTTCTAATTTCTGCTTTTTGATTGGAACCTCCCCTTTGTAAATAGAATGCACTTTAATAGTGTTTGAGCCGGAGGATGTGCGCAGCAGGAGACTAAATGAAACCATAATTAATACAAAACGCATATGGACAAGAGTCTCGAGAGGCGCTGTGTACTTCTGTTAGAGGGAGGAGGTAAGAGCAAAGCAAATGAGGACTCTGCCATGTTCCAAATCAAGAAATATTAACTGCTTCCTTCTAATATTCTCCGGACAGCGGCCTTAAAGAAGTGGCATCGCACCGACTCCCCTTGTGTGCTTTTAGTCCCAGTAATTGCTTTTCCCTATCTAATTTGCGGGGAATCATTTCAGGGTAGGTCTCCTCCCCTTCTCCGCGTTCGGCCGTCTGCCTTAATGACTTTGTTTGGGGTTATTCGGAGAGACAGGGAAGTTGGAAATGAATGGAGCTCGATTCAATTAGCAGCTTCTTTAGCGCTGTGATGGCCACGTTATCATTCCACCGTGGAGAGGGCAACTCATCAAGATGACGAGCTCCAGCTATTCATTAGATCATTGGCCGAGACAGACGGGGGACATGCATTAGGACCTCGCTTGGCTCTAGCTACAAGCAACAAGTTCTTATCAATACTATTACATTACATCACGATTTGTTTAAGAACCATTTTAACAATATTGTATTTTTTCTATAGCCCTTAATCACAACAGTAGTTATCTTGGAGGACTTTAGCAAACCGTTGCATTTGCCAACATAGAAAAGAGAATCAATGGTCCATAAGAGGCAGGTGACCAATGTCTATAAGTGTTGTTGAATGCTGAGTCTCCTGAATCATCACCACAGTTCCTTTAGACCTCACAAGGCTCCAACTGACCCTCCTGCATCGGCAAGGGAAAACTCTAAACCCAGTGGGAAAAGTGAGAAATCCTCACTAACTTACTAGAAGGACTTTATGGACTTTATCATTTGTGATTGTTTGTGGCTATAGGGCTACACAATAATAAATTTAATTGAATTGACAAAACAAGAAAAACATTAAAGGCACTCAACAGATAGATTATCACAGTACATTGAAAATTCTGCACTTGTATGCCCAGCTCAATCGAACTGTTTTTGACCTGGATTTGAAAATGTCAGACTAGAATCCTGTCTCACATTTTCAGGAAGACTGTTCTAGATGTTTGCTGCATTCATCTGAAACGCTGCTTCCCCACTTTTAGGCTTGTGCTCCTCCGATTTGGTTGATATGGCATCAACATGTCACTGTACTTTGGTGCGAGGCCGTGGAGAGACTTGTACACACACAGAGAGCTGCTTTAAAGTCTATTCTCTGAGCCACAGGAAGCCAGCGCAGAGACTTGAGACCTGGACTAATGTGGTCGTACTTCCTGGTTCTAGTCAGGACTCAAGCTGCAGCGTTTTGAATGTATCTGATGATTGTATACAGAAATTATGTATACGTTTTCTGAATGCGATGCAATTCTTACAGTAATTAACTATATGTAACTTTGAACTAAAAAATCTTTGCTTTTATGAATATGTAATGCCTTTTACAACAATATTCATGCCATGTCTTTGCTTTCATTATTCTGGTCTGGTTTGATCGTGGGTTCGGGGGTCGGAGCTCTACGTTGTGCGATGTGCAGATGTTTGTATGAATCTCTCTCTGTAACACGACTCATATTAAAAACCCGCTCTGCATATTAAAGCCTCCAGCGGCAGGAAAATCCCCGTCATTCCATCCATCACCTGCTAGACGACTGAATGGAAGCAGCCCCTCACTGTTGTCATGACACTACAGCCGTAAAACTGTATTAATGAGAGAAAGTGGTCCTCAAAGCGGCCCTCAAAGGGCTGTGTGGCTGCAGGTTTTCATTCCAAACCAGCAGCATTCCGTCAAACTCTTCCATCCAATCCACTTTATTTCGTTTCCAAAGTGCTGCACAATAAAAGAATAATTGAAACTAAGGAAATGTTAAATACTATTAAAAACAAATAGGATAACGCCATAAATATACATACATACACATACACAGATGCACATATAACTTTAAGAAAAAAAAAAAAAAAAAATCTTACCATTTCAATATAACTCAAGACAGGAGTTTGTTCAGTTTTCTACAGATTCACTAAATTTACAAAATTGTCAATTTGCGGACACAGATCAAAGAATCAAACCGTTCAAACAAGAAATGTAGTATAACAAACACATACTGTAAGCATTGGTTCAGAGGGGACGGAGGACCAATGTCAATGACCAATCATAAATGTTAATAAATGTCCTGGATCATCTTCCTTCATCAGCAAGAAAGATATATTCAATACTTTTGCATGAATGTATTGGTGTTACTTGTTCCAGCTTATAGATCCAACTAACTCTCATACTATTGTTAGTCATTCATAAGTGTTTTGTTCATACATTAATTTCTTCTGCACACATTTTTTTCCATTTTGAGCCTTAAATCTCACTCTAAATGTATTGATGAAGTTTTAAAATGTGTATGGCTCCCACAGAAAGACATTTAAGTATGAGGCTTGATCTATAGCAGATTTTTCTCCCTCTCATAATGACCATTTCCATGATTTGTTCTGTCGTTTCAGCTCGAGAAATGACCAGGGGAAAGTTTCTCAACATCCTGGAGAGGCCCAAGAAGTGACAATCCACAGAACGGTGGACCTCAGGCACATGTTTTAGCCCCGTCACACATCCTCTCCACATCCACTTTGTTAGTTTTGCAGCACAAAAGAGAATACCATTAATTTTCTCTGAGCCTGTTTAACTTCTCGTATTTATTACTTTATTATTTCTTTGACTCTAATTGTACATGGAATATGTTGTTTCAAATAAAGATGCTCTTTGATGAAACGCCTCTCTGGGAATGCTTTAACACAACAGAACATTTCTCAAATTTGGCTAAATGTATCTTAATTTGAGCACATTTTGACTGCCTTCAAACAAGATTTGCCAACGGGACAAGCAGAAGGATATTGTTTAAAAAATATGCAAGAAATGTCTCTGCAGAGAAAGAACATGAACAGTTCTTGCAATAAGACTACATTTCTCTTGTGAGATCAATAAAGTCTTATCTTTAACGGTTTTGTCCCATTGGCAAATCTTGATTTAGAACTATTATGTACTCGAATTGAGATAATAAAGAAAAAACTATTCGATTCCAGCAATTACTTCCTATTTTTTTGCAGTGAGGTTTGAGCTTCCGTCTGTTCCGTTTACTTTGACTTTGCTCCCGGATCAATGCGCGCCCACGAAGCGCGTGCACCTGCGGGCCATGTCCCCTAATGAGCAGGAGAAGGCTGGGACACAAAACAAAACATTGCGTAAAAATAATATTGTATATTGTTATCACCGCTAATAAGAGTTGACATAATTACTAGGACCGTTTCTTTTCTAATTAGCACTTCCCCGAGTTGGACCGTGCGCAGTCAGCCAAAGGGGATCAGACAAGCATGGCCAACGGGAAACACAAAGAAAGCCTCCGCCGTAATCAGTCAGGACAAAGCGCTGGACTATTCTCAGTTTGAGATTTCGCCGGACGCTCACTCCAACAGGTTTACACTTTCACTAATAAGCCCCTAATCACGGCCCCCCCTGCGGATCTGCTGCGGACCTGCGCCTGACTCCGTGCGCCTGGACCGGCCTGGACTCAGCTCACCTCCAGGAGCATGGATTTCGTTTGGAAGAACTGGAAAGTCTATAACAGTGTTTTTCAACCAGTGTGCCGTGGTGCGTTAATGTGCCTTGAGATGTGAATGTCTGTGAATGTCAAATGTTTTCTTATTTTCTGCTGATGGCCGAAGAATAAAAGAGTATCGAGATGTTGTTTGTTTGTACCTTAATGTTTGTGCCTTAATGAAATATTCCGAAATCACATAATTAGTCAAAATAATGTGAAAATATTCGAACGTTTTTTTGTGCTTGTTTCATTCTCCCTCTACATATATATCTACATTGATTAGAATGACTTTCAGTTTTTCAGTTTCAGCGGGTGGTGTGCCATGTGAGTGTTAGCAACAAAAACAGATGTGCCACGGCTCAAAAAGTTTGGGAAACTGGTCTAGAACATGCGTCTCCACCTTATTACTCATTATTTCAACTTTGGCAAATCATATTTTTAGTTGTGATTTTCAAACTCAACATTTTTCTCAGACTCTTACTATTTCAACCATTCATAGTATCGTATTTATTAATTCATTATTTTTTGCAGGGTTGTGCCTCATAATATAGACTTTTTTTTTGACACCGTTTTTAACCCTAATGGAGAAGCTCACTGTCATTTTTATTTCAGAAAAAGTAGCTCGTTATAGAAAAAGGTTGGAGACAACTGGTCTAGAATGTCTATTAGATGTAGCCTATAAGTCACTTAAATGACATCTATTGCTATAAGGATAAGAAAATGTAATCTTTAACTTTAGCGTAATAAAGAAGCAACACTAAAATCTCGGCTATGACCTGCACTCCAGCCTCATGTCCGGACAAAATGTCTCTCCAATGTGGCACCAGTCCCCAAATTAGCTGTCAATTAGAACAAATTAATCAACCGTTCGCCTAATTAAGCAATGGCACAGGCTCTACCAAACAGTCCACACATGGGGGCCATGAGAAAGTGTGGAGCGGGAGGGGCCCACAATAGTTCTGCTGACTTCGGGTCCTGTCACCAGCTTCCACTTCCCTTTTAGAGTGAATAAACCATTGAATTTTGCTTGGCATGTTTTAAAGTCAGAATAAAACGAAGACGTCCCACTGCGCCCCCTATCGTCACCAGACAAAGTTTAAACCCCCACTTAAGATGGAGTTTGCCATTTATTCAACTCAGAAACGAAAAGAGATTGAGCCAGTGAACAGAAATGTCTAACATCTGTTTACGTTTTAATCCGCAGCCGTCTGATCATGCGGGCTTTGATGGCCACCCAATCTGCACGAATGACTGAACTAAATCTTCCCCTAATCTACTGCCTTATTAGGGGCCTGTGTTGTGCATGCAAATCAAAATGCAGCCATTTTGACGGGAGATGTATTAAAAGATGCTGAGAGAGAGTACCGCGCCAAACAAACAGCTTACATCATGAGAGAGAGACGCACGCAAACGCACGCACGCACGCACACGCACGCACAGACACACACAGCTCTCATGTGGATAAATGAGCCGATCCCAACAGGCTGATGTGTCATTAGCATATCCAAATCACACTCATTTCTTCATTAATACTAAACCACTAACTAGGCTCTAATTACTTTCCACTGACCGGTCACTGTCGCGCCAGCATTTCTCCTTCCCAAGATCAAGTCAATGGATGTCACTTTAGGAAGCTGGCTCTTCAAAATTATTGTTGTTATTAATCACAGAATAAATAATAATAAATATAATCATTCATATTAATCGTGGCTGGTAGCGTGCGTGCGCATGGCTTGTGGTCCAGCTGTTGTTTTGGGACGGCCTTTGATTCTCGTGTGATGAGTTTCACAGCATCTGGAGATCAATTATCAATTCGTGTGCGTTCACGCACAGTCTGCGGCGCGTTGTGCTACTAGTTCTACAAAATAATCAGATGTGAGAGGAGTTTTTTGATTGACACAGGTTACTATGACGCACATTCATCTTCTTTATATCTGCGTTCTGCTTATTGTGATGCGTAAATATTGGAGGTGATCCTTGTTAAATGTGTCTGTTCTCAGAATAAAAATGGCCTCTGTGCCTCTCGAGCTCAGGATCACATCCATTCTGTCGCCTCCTCTTCCTTCTTCATGTGCTGCGTGTGAAGCTGCGGTGCAGCTGCTGTAAATGGCTCTTTATCCATTTTTATCTTCATCAGATTCTGGAGTGATGCTCATCCTCTGGAGCAGAGGCGTGCAGCCTCCATGATCCACAGGAATCCGGTGTACTGGCTGCTGATTGGCTGCGCGCCCTGCCTCTTGTTGGGATGGACCTGTTGGATAAAAGGAGTCTTTTCTAAAGGGCTCTTGTGTTACGCGGAGGATCATGCACTGGGGACTTTCCTGCAAAAGCATATTAGAACAAACAGGCCTGTGACGCTCCGGACTCGACATGACGGGAAAAGCAGGTGTGGTGCTCGCACAAACTTTAAACCTTCCGGACAAGACCAGTGTGGGCTGCAGCCAGCCGCCGAAGAGCAGCGGCGTGAACCCCCCCACGCGGTGCACGGGCTTCGGCATCCAGGAGATCCTGGGGCTCAACAAGGATCCGCCTGCAGCCCCGCGCAGCCCCTTACGCACGCTGCCGCCTGGGGCGCACCTAATTACCGCCAGGTCTGTGCTGGGCCCCGGGATGGGCATGGGGATGGGTCTGCTCGGGCCGGGGACTCTCCCGTCCTTTTACAGTCAGCCCGCGTTTCTCGAGACGGTTCTGTCGGAGGCACAGGACGCGCGCCTGCAGCAGAGACACAGGACCCTGGGCCAGATGGAGCCGAGCCACTCCGCCAGCTCAGGTCCTTTTTCTTACACTATGCTTATAATTTAGGACTTATCTGGGTGGTCATATCATATGTGGTCATATGTGTGTGTTGACCTTCGTGCTTTGTTCTTAGATTCAGATGATTTGTCTTCGAACGAGCGCAAAGTGTCAAAGTCCACGATGAACCAGAGCAAAAAGCGCAAGAAGCGGAGACACCGGTGAGTGCGTATTTCACACAATATTACAACACAATACAACACAACATGCAACACAACACTCACGCACACACACGGTGCCGTACTTAAATGCAGAAAGGTTTTATTTTTATGTTATATTCTTTAATCATGATATGTACCTATTTCTCAATTATTGTATTGATCACGGCCACTGCACGGTTGTCGTTTTAACACTCACAGAATACATAATTAGCCCTGATAATTAGCTTATCATTTTTGATCTTAAATGTCACAGAACGATCTTTACCTCGTACCAACTGGAGGAACTGGAGAAGGCCTTTAACGAAGCGCACTATCCAGACGTTTACGCACGAGAGATGTTGGCCATGAAGACGGAGCTGCCTGAGGACAGGATACAGGTGAAGACCCAGAAGCCTGTTCTAAGGCATTTAGGCTGACCTTAGTTACATTCTCAACATTTGGATAATTAGCTTTACGCACGGCCATCAACCACATCTGTCGAGATATATACATTTATTTATTTTTTACTAAATAGGGTATTTACAATTATTACATGAAATATTAGCGTGTTATTGTATCTTTACGGTCTCGGCCAATGTGTTTAAATCACATTGAATTATTCTTACACATTTTGAGACATTGTTTTCTAGTCTAAAACATGGATGGACATACACCTGCAATACGCGTGCAATATTTTTTCGTTAATTAGCTATTAACCTAAATTTGTAACAAATGCTTTGGCCAAATGTCTGTGCACGACAAAAATACCAAAATAGGCCATTGGACATATCTACGTAATACATATAATAAAATAAGATAGAATATAAGGCAAATGTATTTATAACTCACACACAGTGGAGGAAGCGACAGAAAACTAACGCGTGGATACGGCTCTGGTTCACGCGGGTTCCTTTTGAGTCGTTTGCAGGAATAAAGTGAATAAGTGACATATTGTTGTAACGTTGAATTGCTGGTGTTTCACCTGCAAAGCTCCTATAATAGTTATGTTAAAATAGACAGAACGACTTGATGCAAAACTATTGTGATAAAAAAAAAAACACACACACACACTACATTAAAAATAAAGTGCTGCGATTATAGAAATGTCACCTTTTGATGTGTATGTTTACATTATATTACATTTAATTTGGGCATTTTTTATACTATATCAATTTATAATCATTCGTTTAAGCTATAATTTGTTATTGTTCTGTTTTAGTCCATAGTTTTCTATTATTATTATTATTATTATTATTATTATTATTATTAGTGTCATTAGTATTATTAGTATTATTATTATTATTAATTGTAACCTGCAGCCCACTCACAGCCTCAAGAACCAAACGTTTCTTTGCTGCCATATACTTTTTTATTGTACTTATACATAAAACAAGTGTAAATATGCCGAATAACCACAAAGCGAGTTTTCATCCGTATAGTCCCTAAACAGGCAAATACATTACAATATAAAATATTCTTGGCAGATATATTTGATCCTAAAAGGGAAAATTCAGGTGACACCATCAGCAATACAGACACAACAAACAGATCTTAACGTACATTGATAAATATTTATTTCTAATCTAAACATATAACCCTGGACAGACGTCTCCTAACAGCCTGTGTTGCTTTGAAGACGTTTGGTGCATTTTACGCGCGTGCTCCTCTCTTCTCACTCCTCTCTCCTCTGTCCCCTATCTCATCTCCTCTTTTTTTCTTCTCACTCCTCTCTCCTCTGTCCCTTCTTTCCTCTCCTTTCCTCTCTTCCCCCTCCTCTCATCATTCCTCTCTGCTCTCCTCTTTGCTCTCTCCTCCCTCCTCTCTGCTCTCCTCTTTCATCTCTCTTCTCTCCTCCCTCCTTTCTTTAACTTCCTCTGCTTTCCTCTTTCCTCTGTCCTACCTCTCTCCTCTCTCTTCTCTCCTCTCTTCTCCCTCCTCTCTCCTCTCTCCCCTCTCTTCTCTCCTCTTTCCTCTCTCTTCTCTCCTCCCTCCTCTTTCCTCTCTCTGCTCTCCTCCCTCCTCTTTCCTCTCTCTCTCCTCTTTCCTCTCTCCTCCGTCCTCTCTCTTCTCTCCTCTTTCATCTTTCTTCTCTCCTAACTCCTCTCTCCTCTTTCCTCTCTTTAACCACCTCTCTCCCCTTCCTCCTCCCTCTCTCCTCTCTCCTCTCTCCTCCATCCTCTCTCCTCTTGGCTGAAATTGGCCGTGGCCTGTACATGGCGCATACAGCCTTGGGAGTGTTCAGAGACGCGTCCGTGGAGCTGCTCGTAAATCGACCCGCTTCACTCGCGCACGGAGCCACAGGGACGCTGCATCACGTCCCATCGCTCTCAGTCGGACGTGAAACAATTTGTTGTCGGGAAAGCAGCCGCTAACGACCTAATCAAGCTCTCTAGGCGGAAGGAGATTGCCGCGTGACCTGGACGATCCATCTGCCGAGCGCCTTTTAATCTTCTCCTCATTACGCGCGGAAACACCACACCATAATAGCGGCAAATAAATAAGGAAATAAAATGAACACCCAATTTTCTCATTGAGTGTAATTAGTTAAATCAGGCCTCATGCCACGGCAGCTCCTCCTGCTCCTTCTGCTGCTGCTGTACGGAGGCGCAGGGAGTTCAAATGAAATAACTACATTGAATTTATTAGAACGGGTCAATAGCGCTGCTCCCGCGAGTCCAGCTAGTTTAATTTCCCGTGATATTTGCCCGCCTGGCCGTCATCGATTGGGCCTGAAATTAACTTATTTTTCAATCAGCCTCAGCGTGCCCCAGGGTCGCTCCTCCTCGCAGCTTCCACGGCAGAGCTCGCTTTTGAGGGCCAGATAAGCAATTTCTCATCAAAAGTGTCTCCTATGGAAAAGGGGGTTATCATCTGAATTGCCTGCAAAAGAGGCCTCTAAATGCTTGGATCGGGTTCAATTGAATATGAGTGGATGCCCCCCCCCCCCCCCCCCCACGATCCCTCCCCCCTCCGCTGTTAGAGCCAATGAAGGCCGCGGTGGTGTGATGGTGCGCGGGTTGGATGGAGGGGGCTTGGTGTGGACAGGTCTCGGTGGAGAAGTGTCTCTGTGAGTTAGGGCGGCCGTAAGTTTGTACAGTGCGCTGCAGATACGCACTGACAGCCTGGCACACATCCCTCACCTGGAGCCTCAGTCCTTATGGGAAATCTATGAAGGAAAGAATCAAAAGTGCTCACTTGTTATCTCAACTTACTTGCAATCAATAATGAGATTGTTCTAAAATATGTAGGTTATGAGTTACCCTTGTAGCTTAATGATAATGAAAAGACTCATTAATTCATAATATATATGACATGGTGGCAAAATACTTTAAGTTACTGGAAAAATAGGATTCAAACAAACCTATGAATCAGAATTTTTCTATCACCCTTTTTTTCTGTTATTGATTTTAGAAGTCCCCCCACTCTCTCTCTCTCTCTCTCTCTCTCTCTCTCTCTCTCTCTCTCTCTCTCTCTCTCTCTCTCTCTCTCTCTCTCTCTATCAGTATCAAGGCTCCACTGTTTTTGTAATTCACTATTTAAGAAAAAAAAAGTTATATTTCCTCAAAGGAAGATGTGGGAATTCTTGTATATTAGACTAAGACAAAGCTCGAGTGATACCTCTGGAGAACATAGAGAAGAACCATAAAACCTTTTATCAACATGTTCAAGTCTATAGCCCTGTTTCCACCACCACCACACACTGCTGTTGCATGTTGGAAGTCCGTTTATTAAAGTTCAGCCGCATAACTTAAGTAAAACTATCGCACTTCCTGTTTGATCGCATTCTTCAATAATGAGCACCTCCTGGCCTAGTCTTGGTTTATTCCTGGTTTAGTCTTGGTTCAGTCCTGGTTTTGCTCTTGTTCTGTTTGTTTTCGAGTGTCTTCTTCCTGCTCTGAGCGGCCTGTGACCCCAGAACCTCTGGGCTGCTCTCTGATTGGTTGGCGCCTGTCTGGCCAAAAAGTTGAGCAATGTTCATAGTCTCTTGTTCCTGGTGCGATGAGTCACTGTACTCTACGCACATGCAACTTTTCACATCAACGTACGGGAACCATTGAGTTTGCATGTAAACGGGGGTTAAGAAAGGTAACTAAATTAGTTGACAAAAATGTCGATAATTGCTAAGTTCCCATGAATCGATTCATTTGTTACAGCCTATAGTTGCGATTATTAAGTCACTAATCTTATGAAGGTCAGCCCTTTGTGTAGGACATGAGCCGATATTATAATAGATCCATGGATCTGAGTGAGTTTGTATGTTTAACTGTTGCATCTGCTGCAGGTGTGGTTCCAGAACCGCAGAGCCAAGTGGAGGAAGAGGGAGAAGTGCTGGGGCCGCAGCACCGTCATGGCGGAGTACGGTCTGTACGGAGCTATGGTGCGACACTCCATCCCTCTGCCCGAGTCCATCCTCAAGTCTGCTAAAGACGGGATCATGGAGTCCTGCGCGCCCTGGCTGCTCGGTGAGTCCCACTGCTCACAGCGGAGAAGCTAAAGACACACACAATGTAGATACACACACACATTTTGAAGATGAAATTCAAAGAGTCATTATGCACCAATGTGGGAAAAAGTTAGTTTTTGCATCTGCATATTTGTATGAGCGGTCAGCATTGTGCCGTTACTTTCTATCATAGTGGTCGTATGATGCTATGGATCCATTGTTTGCGAGGTTTTCTCTGCTGAGAGAACCCTGTATTAGAAAACCTACAAAACAATTGATCCTGGAGCTGTGTGAACAACTGTCAAAAGTTAAGCCCACAGCCACTGGGTCACTAGACAAAAATATCAACTTCTTTCCACATAAAATATTGCATAATGCGCCTTCCAGTGCCTCGGTCAGTATTCTTTAAAATTATGTATCAATAGCATTTTATTATGACCAACTTTTCTTTAAAGACATGTATGAATGGTAAAGGTTATCCACATTCTAAAATTGTTTACATTCCCTTTGCCCTGTGGACGCAAAGGTGATCGTCCCACCATTTAGCACAGTGCCTAAAACCACTGATCCTCTTATATATTATATTTATGACTTTTGTCCATTCAAACACCTTTCTAAACCAGCACTATATTTTTGCTTACTGTTTCCAGTCCAAGATGGCTTACCAATCAACAGGCGCTATTCTAAATCTGAATACCCGCAACTTTTTGCAGGGATGCACAAAAAGTCCATCGAGGGCGGCGTTCCCCAGGGCACGGGACAGTGCGACTCTCCCCCACACCCACCACCACCACCTGCCTCCTCCCAGCAGCAGCAGCAGCAGCAGCAGCAGCAGAAGCAGCAGCAGGGAGGCCTCCAGAGAGACGGGACCCCAGACGCAGAGGAGCAGAGGCCGGAGAGCCAGTCCATCATGTCTAAAGAGGAACTGAGAGAGAGCAGTATCGCCGCGCTGAGGGCCAAGGCACTGGAACACAGCGCCAAAGTCTTGGGGACCGTTTCTCAAAGCAAAAGTGAAAGACACTCAGACGAAGACGGAAGAAGCGACGGCGCGGACAGTCCTGCAGAGGAGACTACAAGTTCTTAGAGATCACTGAGCTTTCCACACATCCAACCCCTTTTACACCAAGGGCCATGGGTCCACAAGACATAGACTGAGAGCAGGGGCCAAACAGGAACACGTCAATACAAATTAAAGATGGGGTACCTGACTTTTATGTCTCACTAATACACATATTTTGCTCTGCTCGTTATCTTGGGAAAATTGCAAGAATGAGCTCTGCGACACAATGACACTTTGGGCTTTGAGCTGATTGGCTGAGGAGCAAGGGTTATCTCTACTTGAAGCTGGTCTAGAGAAGAAGAGACAGAGGCCATAAAATCCTGTATATTAAAACAAGTGCTGCTCTAAACTGGGGCTAAAAACTAGTTGTACTACTTTAGCTCCAGCTTTTTCTATTTTTTGAGAATCAGGTACCCCAGCTTTAAGATATGTAAGAGAGGACCACTGCATTTTTATTTATACTAAAATGATACAAAAGCACTAACATGCTTAGAATTAGGTTAAGAAAGGTAGAATATATAGCAAAAAGGTCACACCATGCACTATATTCATCACTTTTTGTGGCATCAAAAATCTAATATTTTTTAGGCCATAGTTTTCCCGGGCGCCACAGTTTGGTCGTGTCTGCTCTTAAGCCTGTATGAAAAAGGTCTTAACCGTGGAAGACAGACCCGACTCTTCTCAGCCTGGATCTAATTTAAACCGCACATCATGGAGACGCTATGAAAGCCATGCCACCGACAGAACTCTGAAGAGAGATATGAAAGTATTCATGTACAGCATTGTATATAGCGAGATATGCCACAAACACAGAGACAACATTTCAACAGTGATTTCCTGTAATCTTGAAAATTATGTTTTTATTTACCATGTACAATTCAATATTAAACAAAAAGAGACATAACGTTTTATTAAAATACAGATTCTATGTGTCTTTATTAACATGTATGTAGTGTAGTGTAAATCAAATGTATCCATGGCGTGTTGGGGAGAATGCAAATATTTTCAGTGGAACGGTGCTACAGAGGTCAACACTTCAATTCCACCTTCAGACAGGGCCTTTCTGAGTGTCTGAGTTTGTACGTTCTCCCAGTGTCTGTGTAGGTTTCCTCCGGGGGCTCTGGTTTCCCCTACCACAAAGAACATATACAATGATGACGGTCGGGGGCTTCGGTGTGCCAGTGTCCGGCGTCTCGCTTCTGTCATTACCATGCGTGAAGCAAATGGGACAATATTAGTACTCCATAAACACACACTGTAAAATGATGCTCTCCATATCTCACTCTCATCTGAAAAACAGCGGACCAAAAACGGACCCTTGTGGCACCCCCAACCCTGTTTACACGCATGTTTACACGCATGCACACACACACACACACATGCACGCACACACGCACACACACACACACACACACATGCACGCACACACACACGCACGCGCACACACACGCACGCACACACGCACGCACGCACACACACACACGTGCACACACACACACGCACGCACACACGAACGCACGCACGCACACACATACACGCATGCACGCACACACACACACGCACGAACGCACGCACGCACGCACACACACACACGCACACACTCACACACGCACACGCACACACACACACACACACACACTTTCTCATTTCTCCATGCTCCAATCACAATGTGCTATAAATAAAGATTACTTACTTACTTTCAAATATATCCAAATATTCTGTGACCGGGTCCTATCCCAGTTCTGTACATACAATACTGGTGAGATACATTACAGTGTAAAAAAAAAAATATATATTATTATTATATTTATTAGAAAAGGGTAAACCACATTTGAATCCACCACCAAAAATAGATTATTTATTTTAAGTCCAACATCACAACATTTTGCATTAATAAACCAGGACAATGTACTCTTTGATTTTACTCAAGAATTTGTATACAGAAGATGATACTCGAATACACAATTCTGTATTATCAGTGTCAAGTATTTTGTTTCTTCCCATCTGTTCAGTGCAGGATGATGGGATAGTTGAGCAGCCATTGATCCAAATTGCAAAGATTAAAAAAAGATTAGTTTTAAGTGATGTTTTTAGCTGGGTTTGAATTTGTCTTCAGTCATTCAGGGTGTCTAACAGATGCTCCAATTACAACCCCTCAAAGCTAGTGACAGTGTGGCAAATCTATCCATCAATGAATCTATAATGTTAATTCATTCAAAGCTTTTTAGGAAGTAAGACAGCCTAATCCTGGCTGTAAGAAACATGTTCTTTTGCTCTAACATCAGATCCAAAGATTATTAGTTCAAGCCTTGTTAACTTTTATAGACATATCTAGATAGACATATCTCTGAGGCACACAAAGAGAAAATTAAGAAATGTTTAAGCGTTTCAAAAAGTAAAATAACAAAATATGTCACTTGATGTTGTGATCACTGATCCACCCAATTTTTACATAATATATAGAGTGTGCAATGTTTAACGGGCAGTAAACAAGCATTGAAATGCTTAGAATATTGTGAAAAAATTAAAAAATAATTTGCTGCTATTGTATATGTATATATTACATGTACAGTGAAACATTTTTAAAAACACGTTTGGTTTTTTTTTCAGAATGTCTCAAAGACTGGTATGTCTGCATTTCACTATTCTATTTTTGCAATGCATGGTTTGCATGGTTTTATTTTCTATCTCCCATCTCTTTTTTAAAACAGGCCTGGATTCAAATCACAGTGGTCTCACACAAGAACACCATATGTATACTGTATACTGCATCAGCATCATAAACAATATCATATAACCGCTATAACATGACAATTACCTTTATATAAGGTCAGTGTGTGCACTGCGGTGGTTAGCTCAGAGGACTCACTCTGTCTTTTGGGTTTCTCTGGTCACTCTCTCTATTCTCTCTCTGGTCTCTCCCTATTCTCTTTCTGGTCTCTCTCTCTGGTCTTTCTGTTCCATTGTCTCTCTCTTGTCTCTCTCTGCCCACTATCTTGGTCTCTGCACCACAGTGATTTCAGAGGACGACTGCGGTCTCCCATAGGTCTCAGTTCTTCTCCTGCCCCTCAGCGTGGTGTCTTCTGCAGCTGTATTCCTCACTGTACGCTCGGCTTTTGACAGCTGCAGCAGCGCTTTGACCGACAACCAACATGTTTGATATCGCCGTGATTGCACTTCAGCAGCTGTGAGTTCAGGTGGTTAGAAAAGTGTATAAAGTGTGTGGTGAGGGGTTTTAAATCCTTGAGCCGTCAATCTCGCTTATCACTGTTTATTTTGCACGTTATAATACATTTAGAAAGTGTATTTTTCTCCTTGGTCGGACTGCAGATATTATGGCCACTAAAGAAGGCTTGTTGTGGGGATTAAAAGTCCAAAGCATGTCTGTAGCATGTATAATCCTGGGATCTGAAAAGGCCAGTTTCAAAGATCAACGCTCCAGCTGTTTGCACTGGATGTGACGAGTTCATGATCTCTCTCTGATGGACGGGGAGAGCACGAGAGAGAATGTTTAGACATTTCAGACTGAGAAAATTCACCTTCTGTCTGATCATTTCAGTTCAGCCTATAATCTGTACTCTCCAATGGGTGGTAATTGAAATGAAGGTGTGTGACTGCCCTCTGCTGGTGAGAGAGTTACACATACATTTCGAACCTTCCAAATATCACGGTTTCATAAAAATCTAGTTACAAGATATATTTTCATATTTAATAACATGTCGCGCTTTTTATTGTATTAAAACTGTCTCTTTATGCAATGGCAAAATATGTCTACATGATTTTCTCAACACATTCAAATAAATTTCTCCTCCTCCATCACCGTGTGGTTCGCTGGAGCCACAGTCAGGGACAAACAGAGACTACAGCGCATTGTGCGCTCTGCAGAGGAAGTGATCGGCCGCAGCCTCCCATCGCTGCAGGACCTGTACGTCGCCCAAGCTCGAGGCCGGGCTGGTCGTATCACAGCCGACCCCTCTCACCCTGCACATGGACTATTCCATCCACTCCCCTCAGGCAGGAGGCTGCGGTCCATCAGGACTAGAACCTCCCGCCACAAGAACAGTTTCTTCCCCTCTGCTGTTGGACTCTTGAACACTTCTTAACCTGTCCCCCCGCCCTTTTAAAGTCACTTTACTGCCCATCATACGTCACTTTACTTCACTGTACTGCTGTCACCTTACATTGTGTGCACCATGTGCACTTGTATATTGTAAATAGTAACTGTAACTCTATTTTAAATTTAAATTTATTCTTTAGAAGTGTTTTTTATTCTTATTTTTATTATCTCTTTTTGACTGTTGCACTGAGCCAAAGCAATTTCCAAGTCTGTGACCTCCTGTTACTTACGGGGCAATAAAAATGATTCTGATTCTGATTCTGATAAATTCCAATCACAAAAAATAAACCCAGATGTACACAACACAAGAGAACGTCATTTTACTGACCCATGTACATTTTCTATAGGCCAATGTCAAAATCTATGAGAAATGTTGGGGAGGCCCATCACCACACCATCGAACTGAGAACAGAACAGCAGGTGAATAGCAGTGAAGAGACCAAAGCTGAAGTCATAATGACGACAGATAAAGTAGGAGAGAGGAGAAGATAGTCCTCAAGTTTCCATACCTCAAAACAAGGGTACATATACCGTATACCATATACTGTATTTATTTTTACACTTTGAATTTCATGGAAATGTAATGTGTACCATGAAGAAGATGTATTATCATTATCATTATTATTATTATTATCATGAAAAAGTTAGGCACTCAAAATGAATGAATGAAAGTTAGGCACTCATCCTCTTATGGGTATTCACATAACAGCCTCCTGGGAGGTCCACGTTGGAAATGACTTTTTATATGACATATTATTATCGGAAAAATATTTTTTTCTCACAATACAACAATAATTAATCCTCAAAATTTATGATATAGAACTATGTAGTCTCATCTCCCCAGTGTCCAGCAGATGGCGGTAAACACTCCCTGTAGCCTCGCACGCTACACTATTTCCCGTGGACAAAGTAATGACGTGAATGACGTGATGTCGCGCTGAAGCTACGATCCCGGAAGTGACAGGTGCAACGTTTTTCTGTTATTTGTTTTCATTGTAATGAGGGAAATAGTTGAAACCCACTCGTGTTGACAAATGGAAACGAACAGTCAGGTCCATGAGTAGCCTCTGTGTGGAATCCATCTCGGAAAAGCACAGGAATGGACCAGAGCACAGCGTTTCAAGAGTCGTACACGGTAATCTACCATCACCCCATTATGTTTTTATGTTATTGTTATTGTTGTGCCGTTGAGACGCTCTGGTCCAATGTCTGCCCGTCCCTTTCCAGGATAATCTCATCGGGACTTTGCTTGCCATCTTTGGAAATGTGTTGGTCAGCATCTCCTTAACAATCCAGGTAACTAGATTTTAAGAAGACTAACTCATTAGCTACACTACAACAATGTGAGGCTCCCTTAAATCGTGGTATTTCTTCTCGTTTCAAGCTAATCTTTCCCAACCCTATCCGTATCCTTAACCAATGTATCTGTTCCTAACACTAACCTCAACACTTATTCTAATCTTATTGTGACTAAGTTAGTAGAGCATTGGCCTCAGGGCCTGACGGTCATGGGTTCAAACCCTACACAAGGGTTCAAACCACTCCCACTACAGCAGACTTCCTCGGCCTGAATGCCCGCACTGAAAGATCAAGGCCGCTCAGAGCCGAGCAGCCATCCTCCCGTCGACCCACCACCTTCTGGGGGAAGACCTGGAAATGCAATCAATGACTTGGTCTTAATGGTGCAGTTAATATTTATGTTTCAGACTTATATGGAGAGTCCTATTATAAATGCCTCTTGGCAGTCCCTGTGCTCCTCAGAGTCTGAGTTGGTTCATATGGCACTAACATGTCACAGATGTACTTTGGTGCGAGGCCATGAAGACAAGCAGAGCTGCTTTAAAGTCTATTCTCTGAGCCACAGGAATAGAATGTGTGACAAGTCATCTATATGAAGATGTTCTCCTATATTCATTAACCTTTAGGATCCAAATCACTAATCAATTATCATTATTTACAGCCTTTGGTATTTCAAATACCCATTACATAAAGTTATTTAAAAACAAAGCATATTTGCAGCACAACAACACTGATCTGTATCTATTTAGAAACTGTTACAAATGTGTCTATGTTTCCTCTTTGCAGAAACTGGGTCATGTGACCTTGGCGTGCACCAACGACACTCGGGCCTTCTACCGCACTAAGACCTGGTGGTGTGGCTTCGTCCTCACGTGTCTGGGAGAATCGGCAAACTTCACCTCCTATGCCTTTGCCCCGCTGTCCCTGGTGGCCCCTCTCAATGCAGTGTCTCTGCTCAGTACGTCTCTTGCACATTTAGAACATTATCGCATGTTTTGTATGTTTTTTACTAAATTCATTTTCTCTTTTCAGCAAGCTCCATTTTGGGGTTTATTTTCTTGCGAGAAAAGTTGAAGGCCAAAGAATTTGCAAGTAAGCAGCTGTTGCTCTGTATATCTTTTGAATGTATATTGACACTAGAACCCCCAGAGCAGTCTGAGTAATTTTAGAAGTGTATTTCCTCAGCATCTATACATTTTTGATCTTCCTAACTTTTTTTCTGTATCTTTGTGTATTTTATTTCTATCATCATTATTCTTTTTATGAAATCATCTTTTTTTTGTATATTTTATTTCTGACTTTAACTCCAAGAGCCGTCATTTTGAGTGCTCCATTTTTGGTAACTTGACAAAATTCTATGGCAGTTACCGCAACATTTCTCAAGGTGCTGGTCCTGGACTGGTCTTGGTTCTGAGTTTGGTATAGCACTGTTTACTTGGCAGCATTAAGCATTTACTTGCCTGTTTTACTGTTTATAAAGTTATATGAACCAATTTTAGCCCTTATTTAAAAATGAATAAGCGTATAAAATAAAATGAATCTGAATCTGAATCTATACATTTCATAATTATGACGATATTGTCGTAATTAATGATTTAGCTACAACTTTAATCTCAAAGTTTATTATTATTATTATTTTCTAAATGGGACCCTTATGCTCCGTCGTACATAATTTTACGAGTGAAAAACTAATTTGTTTTGTTTTTATTCAGAATTCCTTTGATTTGAATGACTGCTAGTTCTAGTTTTAGAATCCTGAGCGGCCGATTGTAAATGTTCAAATATATATAATGTAATTTTCTCTCTTCTTTCCAGAACGTTATGGCTTGTCATTTTTTGGCTGCCTGCTCACCATCGGAGGAACTTACCTTTTTATATCATTTGGACCAAACGCCCACGAGAGGCTTGACGCACAACATGTTGTAGCACACATTGTATCGTGGCCTGTTCTTTTGTACCTGGTAAGATTTGCTTCTGTTCTGTCGCCCAGTGAGACGTCCTCCCTCTGAACCATTGTTGATTCTCCCACAGTGTCTGAGCACCATCACTTTCTGCCTGCTCCTCTACTTTTACAAAAGACGCTGCTACAACTACCTCCTCATCGTTCTTCTGCTCGTCGCTTTGCTCGGTGCGTGTTTGCATACTGCACGTAGCAGAACAAATATTAGCATGAGATGAAAAAGTTTTGTTGACTCTCCGCTCTCAGGCTCAGTGACTGTGATCACGGTGAAGGCGGTGTCGGCCATGTTGGTTCTGACTGTAGAAGGTTTCATGCAGCTGCAGTATCCCATCTTCTACGTCATGTTTGTGTGTATGTGCTCTTCAGTCGTCTTCCAAGCCAGGTCAGTCTTATACCTCACTCTAAAGCAGTGTTTTTCAACCCGTGGACCTTGAGATGTTGTTTGCTGTGCTTGTGAGAATGACCCAGTATCACCTGATTGGGTCAAAAGAAGGTGAAAAGAAAATAATAATAATAATAAATTTTTATTTGTATAGCAATTAAAAAAAAAAACCAATGTGTACAAAGCGCTGCACAGTCAGCATAAAGCAGTAAAAACAGTAAAAAGAAATACAGCAGAATAAAGCAGACGCACAACAAAAATGACACAACAAAGAGTGGGACAGTAAAATACAACATGCAGCATCCTCTTGATTTAAAAGAGGATTCTACTGGAGCTAGCCTTATCTCTTATCTAAGAAACTGAATCGGAATCTTAATATCTGCCATTTGCAGTAAAACCACATTGGAATACATGTGCAAAGTCCCCAGTGTGCACCAGACGAATGTATTTAAAATAAAACAAGATAAAAAATACAATAAATAATTGTCACAGAGAAACCAAAACAGTTTCAATACAAATGCAAGATCATTAAAGTGCTTTGTTCAAACTGAAAACAGTTTGTGGAAAGAAGCTGTTAGCATATCCAGATGTCCTGCATCTCAGCCAACAATATCTTCTGCCAGAGGGAAGAAGCTGGAACATGACTTTTCCAGGGTCACTTTATCTACTTATTATTATCTTGCCCTATATGTATAACTTTACACATCTCTATAGATAGAAATATATTGATATTGAAGCATTTACAGCTAGCTAAGAAACATAGCAGCTCATTTCAATTGTATATTTTGTGTGCTGCCTGTGTGCTCTTACTACTGTCCTGTATGTCCATGTCTGCAACATTGAAATTTCCCACTGTGGTAAAGGGGATAAAGATTTTCTTATCTTATTATTTCAAGAGTTCGATTTAAGATTGAAGAGAGATAAAGAACGTCCAGAACAGACGTTTCAAATTTTTTGGGAGAATAACTTTGCATTGTTATTAAAGGCGGCATAGTTTCAATTTTTTATCTGGTGGTGTGCCATGTGATGGTTCCCAAAGAAAAAGGTGTGCTGTGACTAAAAAAAGGTTGCTCTAAATCACTCCTAACTTTTTGTTTATGTTTGTGCAGCTTCCTGTCTCAGGCTTGTGCTCTTCACGACTGCTCTCTCATCGCTAGCGTCAACTACATCGTCTCCACGTCCTTCGCTGTTATCGCTGGTGAGTGACCGGGTTTATATTTCATTAAATTCTGTGGTGCTACTTGCATGTGAACGCACAATCTCATCAGACCTCAGAAGCTAAGCAGGCCATGGGCAGATGGCACATACTGTTCAGTGTGCCTCTGGGCAGTTGTGGCTACAGGAGTAGTTTACCACCACAGTGTATGGAGAGAATGATTAATTCCGTGTGAAGCGTCTTTGAGTGTCCAGAAAAGCGCTTTATAAAATCAATGCATTATTATTATCATCATTATTATAATCATGTTGGTGAAAGATATAAACAAAGGTATTTATGTGTACAGTGTGATTGGATCTGTGTCATTGTGCTGGTGGACAATGTTAAAGTTTCCAATTTCAAATTCTGCAAAAAGACGAGATTTAGATAAAAGACATTGGCCTTTGGCACTGTGGGTAATGTTATAGTATTTGTACCTCACAACCTTACCACAACGAATACTTTGTAAAGACATCAGGCTATTTCTGTTGGATAATATATCCTGAATTTATCTTGTTTACCTTTGAGTTGTCTTGTACATAAACTAAATATCTGCAAACAACTAAAATATGGCAACAATTTATGATTTATTGATGAAGAGAATGGGAGGTTTTTGACCCCTTTCCATTTAGTTTAGTGGTCCTCTTTTCAATCCTATCAATTATAACAGATACAATTATGACTAATGCATTATTTTCTGATAAATGTGATATGTTTTCTCCCAGGCGCAGTATTCTATGAGGAGTTCAAGCATGAAGACATTCTGCATATCTGCATGTTTCTCCTGGGGTGAGTAATGGGCTCCTCCCTGCACAGGTATGAGCCTCTGTCTGTCTCATTCTTTTCTGCTTGTGGTTGTAGAACCGCAATCTGTTTCCTGGGAGCATTCCTCATCACGAGAAACCGTAAGAGGACCAAGGCTTTCGAGCCCTACGTGACTATGGACATGGCAAATGGTGTGTCCGTTTATGTGTGTCTATGTGTGTGTATCCAGTCTTGTTTTTTCTCACTGAAAGTATTCAACAAAGTAATTCAAGACATATTTCAGTTTTTTCTTATTTAATTCTTTCCAGAAAAAAAGACAATTATCGTAAAATATAAATAAAAATGAAAGCAAGTCCAGTCTTCTCCTGCAGACTTAAAGGCTGCATGTGCTCCTGCTTGGTTGGAACGAAAACCTGCAGCCACACCGGCCCTTTGTAGAACCAGTTTGACACACATGTTCTAAGACATGGCAATTCTCTAATTATTATGTTACTATGTTGAAAGTACAATGTAGGTGAAGTGTCTTGCCCAAGGACACAAAGCCCCACTGTGGCATTTCCCACGGTCTCCCATCACATTACTAAGCTTCTGGTTTTTTCATACTTGTAAGATAAAGACATAAAGCAGCCAAGGATAGTTTTTGGATCCTTTTAGTAATCTGTCCATGTGCCTCTATAGATCTATTCTTTTTGGATTCTTTTTGCCTGAACTAAGTTTGTTTTTGTTAGTTTTCTGGACAGTTGAAGACAGAGTGAAGTTTGATAAATCATGTTTTGCACAGCCTCAGTCCTTGTTCTACAGCCTGAGTCTTTTAAGTCTGTAAATCTATAGCCTGTCAGTCGGTGGGAGCGAACCCCTCTCTCAATACAGGCCTCCCTGAGATTTCTCTTTTATTTTTGAATCGTTCCTTGCCCGCCGCAGGAGGGTATAACGAGGGTATAAGGGATGATCCGGGACATTTATGAACATTGATGGATTTTTAACATCCCACGTCCTATGGATCAATGGCTCCTTTGTGTTTGTTAGTATTGTTGTTGGTGAATCGACAACTTTGTAGAGTCCTCCGAGACAACTGCTGCTGTCATTTAGGACTATATAAAAATGAATTGAATAATGAGATCTGAGCTTTGCCCCGTGTGTGACTGTGTGTGTCCTTTCTGTGGCAGAGGTCCCAATCGTGCATTGTAAGCGCTCGGTGGTGCAGCCTGATGGTTCCTTCTCGTACGGGGCTCTGGTGAATAACGACAGTGTGGCCCCGGCTCCACTTCCCGACCGTCTGAAGCCTCCTCCAGTCAACCAGGCAGCGCAGGCCACGCCCACACCGCGGGACCACAAGGCGGATTAACGAGAGCCATTTTAAATACTATACCTACAGTGTCCTTATTTATGTCTTAAATTATGTCAAGTGAAGAAAATCAATCTCAAATGTGATAAGTTGTATATTTTGTTATTTTTAAATTATTTTTTGTGCCTTGGTATATTGACCGTATATGCCTTTTATTTATAGTGCTACTGACTGCCAATGTGTGAAAAGACACCAACTATGGCCCCTCCATTGTTATGATGGAGGGACGCATGATGGAGGGGCACATACCCCGCCAAGTCCACAGATCCTCTCCATGTGTTTTTGGAGTTTTCTAACATCACATCCCCTCTACACAGCACAATTCAGATCAGTCCTTATTGGAGCAGAATAATCAGTTTATAATCAGAATGTGTTGCTTTATATACTACTGTAAGTTGTATATAAAGGGTTCTTGTTTCCCAGAGCGATGCTGGAGGAACTGAGTGCCTTTTATGAAACCTGTTGTAACTCACTTTGCCTTCTGTGCCTGTGGCAGGATTGTTCTCTTTCTTAATGTAATTGTATATTTTCTGGTGACTGGTTATAAATATGGTTTTATTAATACAGATTAAAAGAATAACACAGAGCTTTGTGCAGAAGGATTTTGAATAATACCGTATATAAACGGTTTTAATGATCACAATATTGTTTATATGAACTCTAAGTCGCTACTTTTTCTAATTATTTTACCCCTGCGGCTTGTATAGCGATGTGGCTAATATGTATATTTTTATTGTGGTACAGTGTTCAGAGCTGATTTTATGGACACGCGCCTTTCACCTGTTCTGATTATCCGCTAGTCATTTGGAGGGACCGATGGCACATACTGGTTGCCTTGCTTCTGTCAGTGTGACCCAGGGCAGCTATGGCTACAGTAGTAGTTCATCACCACCGTGTATGGAGTGAATGAATATTAATATGTGAAGTGTCTCATCTTTGAGTGTCCAAAAAGCGCAAGATAAAACCGATGCCTTATTATTATCATTATCTGCTATAATTATTACTACATTATTACACATTCTGTTCATCTCTCTCTGTTATGATAATTCACTAGTCACTTTACCTGCTGATACTGTTTATTCTGGTCATATTCTCTGCTGCCAAAGTACAATATAAACATCTGTAAATACCTCATTCATTTTATTTTATTATATTATATTATGAAGTGTACAGCCTGAGTGCTCTTGTTTCCTCCTACAGACATAACTTTTCTCAAGGACCTTGTTTGCGTGTCCCCCCCCCCCTAGTGACGCACGGACTTTAGCCACTGCTGCTCCCTGATTGGTGGAGCAGAGGCGGTGCGGACGCTGGATTGGTCTCGCCTCCAGAGCCGAGAGAATACAATAATAAACAACTGTCCGTGTAGAGAGCGACACCACAGAGCCAAAGGAGAACGAAATGAAGATTATAAGCACACAGTGATAGTTTACTACTCTGTGTCGCGTTTCTGAGGCGGAGGTAAGAGCCAACGTCGTTCGTGCGTCTGAAGGTCTGAAGCTAAAAAAAACCAACATTACCCCCTAACACCTGTTACTCAGCATTCTCCCCATTAAGCGATTTTGCATTATTTGTAGTCGCAATGATTTTGAGGAATTGCTTTTAAAACCAGCGTGTTGTCAACGCACATCATGGAAACAGATTAGGTTGTTCCAGGTTAGAAAGGATGGGGATTAAAATTGTTATTAATTGCAGTTCAGTGTTTACGCCACTAGAGGTCTCTGCTGATTCACACTCAACTATATCACACTTTCTTCTAGTTAGTGAACGGGATCAGTAGTGGTATTAGGATAAGATAAGATAAGAGAAACTTTATTCGTCCTGCAGTGGGGGAATTACAAGACAGTAAGAGCACAAAGGGAGCACACAAAATATGAAGAGATAATCCAATCCTCTTTATTTATATAGAACATTTTATTAAACATGTTTCCGAAGTGCTGTACAGATAAAAGCAACGCATTGAAATATACAAATCTGCCAGCTTTAAATAAAAACAATTTAAATAAAGTGGAAACATTTTAAATAAAGGAACTAACTATATACATTCATAAATATAAAACAATAAAATACATAAAAGCAAAAAATAAAATTGAGGACCACACAACTCACACGGTGTTAAAAGCCAGTAAGACAAGACTTGAAACATTCCAAGGAGGGAGCTGTTATGATGTTATCAGTAGATAAGTAGCTGCTGCTTGCTTCACAAGAAAAGCAAGTTAATGTAAATTAGAGATGAGAGATATACTTTATTGATCTCACAAACAAATCTACATGTCTATATCTTTCTCTCAGATGAGGATCAGAGCAGCGGCTGTCGCACTGTTATCCGACGTTATAGTGCGTGATATGTGTGAATCTGGTTTTAAAACTTAAAATCATTAGTCTCATTCTCGCGAAGATGACAAGGAAAAGTGCATGAAGAAGGAACTCTGGAATATGAATGGAGGAGGTCCGGTGAGGCTCTGGATGCTGAAAAATCCATTACTCAAACATGAATTTTATACCATTTTGAATAAGGTAATGAGAAAAGCAGGTTTAGCTAACTTTGGTTTGTCCCAAAAGAAAGAGTCTTGTATGGGTAACATTTTGTGAACAAATCTAATGGACAAAATTTATGGACATTGGTCATCTGCTCGTTGTGGACCAATGACTCTGATGACTTGATTCTCTAATCTGTTGTTGGAGAATTCAATGGTTTTTTAAAGTCTTCTGAGATATCTAATGTTGTGACTTAGATACAAGAATGAATTGAATTGACTTATCTAACAATGAGTTGTTCTGACAATATGTTTTGCCCACAGTATCCTTCACCATGCTGAGGGAGAGCTTGAGGGGCTACAGCAGCGGCTCGGAGGAGGATGAGGAGGATGAAGAGGACATGGTGTGTGGGGAATTGGACCAGGAGGAGGAGATGATGGACCTCAGTGACCTGCCCACGGCTCTGTTCGCCTGCAACGTCCACGACACGGTGTTCGACCATGAGCTGCACCGGGTGAGTGCCGCTATGACACTAGAAATGTGCTTTCATTGTCACCATCTTTTTTATTCTGACTATTGGTGACGTTGAGGGGGAGGTGTAGGGTCGGTGAGTGTTTGGGCCTGTGTGTGTGTGTGTGTGTTTTTAGTTTTTGTCACGTACCATATCTGTAAGTTGCTGAAATCTACTCTTTGGTATTGTTCTTTCATTGTGGAATGGATGACAGGGGTTCAGGGCTCTAAACTGTATACTGTATTTAGTCACGTTTCCACCGCAGGAGTTCCTGGTAAAAGGAGGGAGGTGGAACTTCTACAGGAACCGTCCTCTCCCTCGGTCCTCGCAGTAGGACCCCTTGGCGACGTCATAAGTTTCGATCGCTGCATAAGCAAAACTCATTACGCCAAACTCATTTATTTATTTTAAGGTCGTAATCGCTCTGGTTGTTGTGATCTTTGAGTTTTTCATATTCCGGCTTCAGCTTTTTAAAACTGTTCACGTCTTGTTTTGGAGCGTAATGAATCCCCAGTGTTTCGAGGTGAACCTGATATATCTTTTCATTTTGCTGCGATGCCTCAAACTTGTCTGAATCAATGCCTCATCATCTGTTAATTTATCGTCCATCTTGCTGTTGTTGTTGGCTGTTTCCGGTGGTGTCTGCTAGGCTAATGCTGCTTGGCTAGTGTTGCTGGGCTAATGCTACTCGGCTAATGATGCTGGATTTAAAAAATGCAGATTGTTTTGGTGCTTTCTGCTGGTGTCAGAGTCTGCTCTAGCTTTAGCCAATCAGCGCCGGGTTAACCTCAAGCCCCACCAGGAGCTGTTCAGGGCCACGGAGTACCTAGCATAAAGGAGGGACTGTGGCTGCCGGATTCGTCCCGGAAACCGGATTCGTCCAGAAGTTCATTTTGAGCATGCCAAAAAGTGTAAATAAACATGTGAACGGTTTGCGTTGTTACATACAGATTATATTCTTGATGTGTGCACATATGTATCAAGGTTTATTTCGAGAAATGGTGGAAAAAGAGCTCCGAGAAAAAAATACTTTTAGTATCCACGAAGCTAGCGTTCAAAGGCACACGGAAATGATAAATAAACTAATAAATAAACACAGGGATCTACATAACAGGTGTATGATATTTAAACAAGTAAAGGACAGTGAATCTAATCAAGAATTAAACTGACTATGTGCTAGCCTCATTTCCGTTTGCCTTTGAACGCATCTGAGCGCTAGCCTCGTGGCTACTAAAAGTACTTTTTTCTCGGAGCTCTTTTTCCGCCATTTCTCGTAATAAACCTTGATACATATGTGCACAAATCAAGAATATAATCTGTATGTAACAACACAAACTGTTTACATGTTTGTTTACACTTTTTGATATGCGCAAACTGAACTTCCGGACGAATCCGGTGTCCAGGACAAATCCGGCAGCCACAGGGACTCTTTCTTTACACTTCCTGTAAATGGCCCTGTGGGTGAAGTTCCTCCAGTGGAGACACGCACCGATAGGACTGGTCCTGGAAAATGACCCCAAAGTTTCTGCGGTGGAAACACAACTTATGCTTTTGCTTCATCCAACCCCTTTTTGAATAACGTTTTTATAGATGCAGGTTCAAAATAATTACCCTGCTCTTCTCTGCTCTACTCTACTCTACTCTACTTTACCCCACCCTATACTCTATCCTATAGTACTTAACCCAACTCTACTCTGCTCTACTCTGCAATGCTCTACTCTACCACACTCTATTCTACTAGACTCTACTATAATAAGACCGAACAAATACACATATAATCATCTAAAAGACAAGACTCACATAGATTAAAATAATAATCAGTTGTCCCGTAAAGGAGACCACACAGCCCAAGACCCGAGGTTCCCCAGGGCCAGCACCTCAGGGTTTTCAGAGTCATTGAGGTGACAAATTAATCTAAAATGAAAAATGTCTTACGGTTGACCCGGTTGCCTGGCAGAAAAGCAGGCCGACACATGGACCTGAGTTTTTAGAAACATCCCCAAGGCATCATTAACGGCTCCTTATGCTGCATGTAATATATGTGTGTGTGGGATCCATTTCACCAGGACGAGATATCGCCACAGACGAAGCAAAGAGCCGATCCAGGCACAGGCTGCTGGTCAATGATTAAAAAGACAGCGTTTGACACAGGTTAAACTGAGCCAGCAGGCATTGGATAGGCAAAGAACCTCTCTGGGACACAGATAAGTATTTGATATTGGGGTATTAAATGTTTTTGCTTTTGAAATTGAACCAAAGAGAAAGCTTCAGGTCCGATAAGTCTCTTCTGCTCCCTGTCAGAGAGAGTGTTTAAAGTGTGTCTGAAAAGGCTCATTTCTGTGAAGTGATGAGAGCTTATGCCTGTCAATCAAAACAATGAACAATTATGAACTTATTTATAGAAAAATTCTTGAATGAAGAAATGACTCGTGCAGCTGTTGACTACAGAGAGACGACCATAGAAAGACCCATACTCAGGCTTGTTGTATCTCTCCATTTATAATGTAGGCTGAGGATCTCACATTCCACTATATTTCTCCTGTTACCGTCACTGGCAAACAGTGAGGTGTTAAAAGGTTTTGATCAGTGGCAGAAGTTACTTTTTAATTACAAAGTCCACACGACTGCTTGCCTCAACAAAGTAACTTAGTTACATTACTTTGGAAATACTTCCTTATATAATATAGTAATACAGTAGAATGCAAATGAATTGTATATGTGCTTTTATGTTTCTGTATATTACACACTGGGATTTACAGATGGGTTGCATTACAGTGTGCAGTATTGTGGTCACTGTGTCGGACTGTTTAGGTGAAGAGGGAGCAGTGTCTGCTGTCAGAGCTGTATTGCATTGTTGTGGTGAAGAAAGAGTTGAGTCGAAAGGCAAAGCTCTCAATTTACCGCTTAAACAATCATGTGGAAGGAGCTTGGAGTAGAGCCGCTTCTTCTTGGCTCTGGCATTTGTTTTGGATACTTCCTGCCCAGACTTCCCTATTCACACACTTCCTCCAGCAAGGCGTTCCCAGGCCAGCTGAAAGACGAGAATCAGCACCTCCAAATCCGAGGCCATGGTTTTCCCGGTGGGTGGAGAGGTTCTTCCTCAAGTATCTCGGGATCTTGTTCACGAGTGAGGGAAGCATGGAGCGTGAGCTTGACACCTCTTGGACTTTTCTGGAAATGTAAGGGGCAATATAAATAATATGTATTAATATTGTTATTTTTATTTTATTTTTATCATTATTGCAGTCGTATCTCTCTCAAGCTCTCAATTCATCGGTCAATCTTCCTTCCCTCCCTCTCCTATGATCATGAATGCCACACAAAACAACATAAATAATCACATAATACATAACAATGAGTGAAGATACATCCCTTCAGTTGTATGCATAGCTGAACGAAACGGGTTATAACCTGGATTTGCACATCAGAGTAGAAACAATTTTCAGGCAGATTTTAGCTGCATAAATCTGAAACCTCTGGGCACCAGTAGGAGGCCAGTCCCTGTGCTCCTCCCTCTCCACATTGGTTCATTTGGCACCAACATGCCACAGATGTACTATGGTGCGAGGCCATGGAGAGACTTGAACACAATCACAGCTGCTTTAAAGTCTATTCTCTGAGCCGCAGGAGGCCAGTGTAGTAGTACACACACACATGGAGCCTTTGGTTTACTGTACTATATGTAATCTTTAACTGACGTAGGAAAAGCAGCAGTCCCTCCGGACACTCAGTTTGCTTGTGGGCTCATAATATTTGTATGCATTGCCCTGAGGTGACCCGAGGGCTGTCCAGGGCACCTGCCAGACCCTTTGTTCACACTCCCATCAGCCTCAGTCCCTCAGCTCTCTCTCTCTGCTGCACTCCCCCCGTGGATGTGCTCTGTAGACATCCTCGCTGCACCCACTCTATTCTGTGCCTGTTTTAAAAATAGCTTGGCCTACATTAGATCAACAGCGGAGGCGTTGGCTCTGGAGATTGAGGAATAAACTAAGCACCTGGAATTCCTATATTTTACTACAAACAATTAGAATGCTGAAAATAGTGCGCTCTCTATATAGATATACAGTATATACACCAATACCTCTGAGTAGAATGTTTGATTTAATGTATTATTGAATAGCCTAAATCACAACTCTTATCATTTTGAAGGACTTTACAAAACAGTAGAAAATGCCAACACAGATCAGAGAATTAAACAGTTCAAACACAATAAATACAATGATAGAAAACGCATATAGGGGTCCATAAGGGGCAGATGACCAATGTCCATAATTGTCCATAAATGTTGTGTGTCCTGGATCATGACCACAGTCCTTAGACCCTCCTGCATCAGCAAGGAAAAACTTGAATAGAACGTCATGGTAAACGTTGTTCAATAGCATTGCTGTGAGAGTCCGGAGGCCCTTCTTGTTTGCTGTGGGGAGGGACAGAGAGACTGACGGACTGAGGTCAGACCGGACTCTCTGTGGACTGGGCTGTTTGCAGATGTCATGGTGCCCCGCGGTGAGAGCAGGTGGACGCAGATCTATAGCAGGGAACGTGGCGTCACAGCTGATGGCTCTCTTTACAAGTGATGAAGATTGGCAATGGCGAATGAGAAGCATCAAATGGAGACTATTTAGAGATGGATTCAATTATTGCCTTGGTTATGTGATTAGGACACGAGCCTGGCTGGTATCAATAGTCCTAGTCCTTTGGTAATTTGGTGGCAAAATAAGATAATTATATGGGCTTTTTGTTCATATTTCATAATTGTTTGTAATATCATGAGATTAGATTATTAGATTATTGAGATGAGCGTATCACTCTTGTATTTGTATTTCATCTGAGAGGCTGAAATGAAGGCATAAGCGCTACATCACAGAGAATCTTGCACAGTCTGTTGGGATTGACCATAGAGACTGTATACAGATGGACAATGCTAACCTGCTAGCTCAATGAAGCCCAAAAGCAAAGTGCTCATGGACAAAGTTTTGCTCCAACTCGCCCTGTCTCCTATCGAC